CTTTGTGTAGACCTAGGCTTTAAACCACATCTTCAGTTTCAATCATCACATCCTTGCTACTGATGTTCAGCTCTGCCTGTGCCCATCATCTCATCTCCTGTTGTTTGGAGTTGTAGCACAGGGAGTTTTCCCCCACAGCTGTGAAATGGAAGCTGTGTGTGCTCATCAGCATCTCTTCTTGCTAGAAATATGCTTTTCTTAATGAAGAATATGCTCTGAGAGCTTCTGGGTGCAAAGTGAGGGAGATGTTGCCACTTTTTAACTGGGTTGAGGTCTTCATTCCTTTTGAAAACCTTGAGCTGTTGAAGGAGGATGTTGCCTAAATGAACTGCTCAGATGCAAAATTGGAGCCATCCTTTGCAGTCCCTCAGTGGGTGCTGCTGAACGTGAGTGCAACCACGCTCAAGACTCTTGTTCATAATGGAGAGTGCCATGTTACTTATGCCATGTACTTATGCCACGTACTGACCTATCCCTAGCTGGAGGGGAGACTTTCTGAACCTCTGGTTCCTCTGTTGGATATCTCCCATCCATGTATGGAATGGCTAATAAAGTTATACACAAAGGCTGGTGGCAGAGCAGCCAGGACTGGTGCCAAAAGGCAGGCCTCACCTCTCTGTACAGAAGACAAATTTCCAAAATCCCACGTTTGGGCAATACTTCTAGCTTCCCCTTCTTGGACAAGGCTAGGTATGTAATGGTACCTTAGCCCTGAAAACTTAAAGGGAATTGTTTTTCAGACTGGCCTGTCAACTCATGCCATGTTGGGCAGTATGGTGGAGATGCAGAGGTCCACGAGTCAGGCAGCACTAGAGCAATGAAATAAAGCAGGGGAAAACCAGCATATGTGAAAAATGCAGAGGCTGCTGTTTGTGTTTGACACAGCCAGTGCAGCTTGGGTGAGCGTATGGCTGGATGTTTTTTCTGGCTGATCTCCCACCCAAAGTGCACTGATGACCTTTGTTTGGGAGCTACCTCCTTCCAACAATACTCATGTGAATCTTGTGGTAATCATTATTTCCATTTGCCAAGAGATGCAATAACTAGCCAACTAGCTTAACTGTGGTAAAGCCCAACCCAGTGACTCCTAGTCCCTTGAATTTTCGGTGCAATTCTTTTATCAGCGCTATAACACAGCATTGGTAACAATCAGGCAATTGCCAGAGTGGTGTAATGACCCCTCGAAAGCCCTGGATGGAATGGCTGAATTTACTGTTAGACTTTTGCATCTTGTTTTCTGTCACACAGAAAATCCATTCTCTTGTGATGATCTTAACTGTGAAGATAAGTCCTGCAGCCTGTTTTTTAATTCCAGGACTGTTTACCAAAATTGAGTACAGTTGGAGTAGGAAGGGAAGCAATCTCTTTGTGGAGCCTTCCTACCCATGCAACAATGTGTGATGCAATCACTGTCTTGAGGCAGCTAAACCTTCTTCCCTTCTAGGATGGCATCTGCACCTCTAGGTCAGAGACATTGTTTTGCCAACAGCTGAGGACGTTTCCCTGCATGTGAGAAGAGCCCTTTTGCCCTGGCTGTCAGCAGAGTGTCTGCAACACAGCGCCCAGCCGGTGTTGCCAGGGGCACACTGCCCACCCAGGAGCCATGAATTCTGATCACTTCAATGAAAATAATTTGGTGCAATCAGTGGAGAGGGGAGGTTTGCAGCTACCACACCCACCTGCACAGACACACGTGCTCCTGCCACCATCTTCTTTGTGCCATGGTTTCAGTGAGCAAGCAGACAAGCCTGCTTGTAACACACAGTGGCGTGTCAGCCAGTGGGAATGGCTACAAATGTGGCTTTCTCCAGCTCTGCTCAGCAAGACCTCCTCCTGCTGCTTGGAACAATATGTGGTTACCACAACATGACATCTAGTTAAGAAAACAAAGCCAAGCACAATCCACCCAAACTTCAAAACTTCCCCCTTTCCTTCAACAACAGATTTTTCTTGTCAGGTTCAAATTATTTGCCAATAAGTGCTGGAAAAAGCCTTTGCTCTGGTTTGGCCTGTATTTATTTTCTGCACCAAACCAACAGAAGGTGTTTCTGAGAAATGAACGTAAGAGGGTGCAAGAAAATGACACTGGCCTGGCTTAACTTACTAACTAAGGTTAGCTTCTTCAAGTGTTGGGCCATGGTGATGGATGTTTTGTACTACTCCATTGCATTCCTCTTCCTGAGCTGATGTGTTCAGGCTGCGTGCTGTAATTTCTGGTTTGGGTGAATGGAGAGCAAAATCCCCAAAACCCACCAGCAGCATCACCCAGCCTTGGTGGGCAGCTGGCTGGGTCACCTCTCCGCATCCCAGCCTGCAGGTGAGGTACACTGGGAGAGCAGGGACAGACCCTTGGTGCTTGTACTTGCTCTTGCTGTTGTTTTTGAGGAAGTCTGCTACACGTTTGCAATGGAGCCAGGTAGTGGATGGATGTTGTACAGAACTTCAGTCTCCCAGTCTGTCAAGCTTGAAAGTTTTTCCAGCTTTCAATTTTGTCTAGAGTTTCCTTCTTAAGACTCCCCCCTTCTTCAAACAGAGCCTCAACTCTGGCTGGGTCCCAGAGATAGATACCAAATGGTGCTTTTTTCCCTTTCTTTTGCTCTTTCTTCCTTCTCATGAAGCTGGCAGACTCTCCAAACACACATCCAACCAACGCACAGTGCATTCGAAAACAGGCCATCTGGCTGAGCACTCCTTGAGAATGAGAAGACAAGAAAAACAACCCTCTTGGATCTGGCAGCCGAAAGGCAGGCAGCCCGTACGTGGACTTGATCTCGTGGTGCAATCCAAGAGCTGTCCAATCCAAGGGCATTGCAAAAAAGCTCTTTCCTAATGAGCAGAATACGGCTGTCTCCAGAAGCGGCTCCAAGTCAACAATTTGAGTGGGATGCTGTAACTCTCCTCACTGCACATGTGCTCATTAATTAAAGCCACTTTGGAAGATGCCCCGGACACCCCCGCCAGGGCTGCCAGCCTACCCTCCCTGAAATGCTGCTTGCTGCTTTGCAGCCCCCTGCTGGGCCCGGAACTGCAGAGCCCCAGGAGAAGGATGGGGCCATCAGCATCCAGCTCTTAACCGCAAAGGGGACCTGTTGCGTCACCGGGGAGCAGCTGCGGGGGAGCACAGCCCTGGGAGGAAGTTGCACTCCATTTGCTTTGCCATCATTTTTCTCCCCTGAGTTTGGTAATAGCCAGAGTGCTCCAGGCACAAAACCACTCTGTGCAGGTCAGCAAGTGTCAGGGACTGAAGTGAGCTGAACCAGTATTGCAATGCTTCCCTATTTTTTTCTGGTGGCTAAGGACTGGATTCACGAAATCAGAGTGGCTGAGATGAACACAGAGCCATTAGTAGCCAAATCCATCAACAGCAGAACAGGAAGCACTCAATGAAACCAGTAGGAGATGAGTTTAAAACAATTTAAAGAAATTACATGACATTAATGGTAGAGAACTTCTGGAAGTTGCTGACCCAGAAGGCTACAGAGCATCAGTGGGCTCAAAATGGGATTAGACAAATTTGCAGGCAACAGGTCCATAAAGTGACACTAAAATGAACAGGCAAAATGTGTAATGGAACATCCTGATCCAACAGAGGTGAATGGTGAGAAAATAGATGGGAAATGTCTAGGGGTGTGTGCTTTCTGGACCTTGCCCTAGTTGGGAGCAGAGTGCTGGGTGGGGAGGACCACTGCTCAGCCCCAAAAGGCTATTCTTCAGTTTTTATTGTAGGATTCAGTCACTGTACCAGCCCAATCTGAAGGTCATATGAACAGATTGTTGCCTCTTTAAATTACCAGAAGGAAGCTAGAATCCAATTTTTCTCTGAAAACAGAATTTGTGGAACATGTTTCTGTGAATGTTAACAGTCATGAGCCCTGGCTTAATCTGTTTGCTCTCCCAGTCATTACATTTCACACAGTGACAGGGTGATTCATTTGACTCTTTATCTTCTTACTTGGGATCTCCTTGTTTCTGCATCTGCCCCTGTAGTACTGATGGGAGCAAGGACAGCTCATAGCTACATCTCAGCTATGTGTGTGTGGCTTTCCAATGGTTAGTTACAGCTCTGCAGCTCCAGATGGCACTTCCTCAGGATTCTGCCATGGCTTCTTGCATGCAGTTGTGTTTCCAAAGCCAGGGGTTAAAACTCTCGATCTTTTGACTTTATTCATTCAAGAGTAAGGTTCTTTAAGTGAAAAGTTACCGACTTATCTTGAAAAATTACGACAGAGCATGTGCAGCACCAGTGCAAGTCCTCTATTTCTTGCCACTAAGTTATCAGAGACATTCAGTACCTGTTCCTTTTATCAACATGCAATTTAGTTGTCCCCAACCAACAAAGGTGAGGTCTAAAACAGATTTTGCATCATTATCTTTCTAAACCCATCACTTTATGAGCTTTAACAATTACAATGACATGTTCCTAAACTGAAAATAATAAAAACCAGGGATTTGATGAAGTCAAATATGCCCCTTTTTTGGTGCTGACTTCAAACACAGGTGGTTAGTTCAGAAAAAAACTGGGAGTGACAGGAGACAGGGAGCTGTATTAAATCAGAATGAAGTTCAGCAGTGCAATTGCTAAATCATACCAGAGAGAATGTAAATAGTAACTGAAAAGCTTCAGCAAGAAAAATAATGGGGTAAGGGGCATGACAAATTTAAAAGGTTGTCTGTGTGATTGAATCTATTCCTTTGCTGTCATGATTTCCCACAACTGATAAAGACTTGTCTTCAAACAGTTGAGCTTTTTTATTCCTATTGCTTTTCTTTGGAGGTTATCCTGAACTTCACTCTGCTGTTGTTTTGAAAGTTTCTGCAAGTCTGCAGCCTCAATTTATTTATGACTAGTGTGTGCCCATTTTAAGATCTTTCCTTTTATAAACTCTAACCTGCTATTAGCCACATTTAGTGAAGGTTTTAGGGCATAATTCATCTCCTACCAATATGTGAGTTCTGTTATGCTAACATTGTCTCTTTTCTTTTTTATTTTTAACTTACAGGAAAGCAGAATAATATGCAAAATCAGGATGAAACATGTTTCAGGTCTACATTACAATTCAAACAGAAATGTAAGACAGCTGAAGACATCAGAACAAAAAGCTTTGTAAGTGTTCTGTGCTATCAGTTACTCAAGGGATAGGTAACACACCTTTCAGTGCATATTGCTTCCTTCACAGCCTTTGATGTGACCTTGTGAAAGGTAGGTTCCCTTCAGAAATGTGCTCTGAGGTCTGAGGCAAGTTATCTGGAGCTCTGAGAGCATGGTGTTTCCAGAGACCAGGTTCCAAACTTGCTTGAGATGTTCATGTGAACAGCACTCTTTAAAAATAAAGAATACCCGGGTATAGTCTCATGATATTGAGAATACAAATTCTCAGCATTAATTGTGCTGTGGAAGTGTCATTTGTGCCTTATATTCCAATAAAATGAATTAAATTTTCTTCGGGTCCTTTCCAAACTTCGATGTAGAGAGTGTCCAAACCATCACCAGTAAAAATTATGCCAGTTGGAACACTTCTAGTGAAAAATTTGGTTTTAAGAGAACAGATACTTTCATAAAAAGTGTTCACTGACCTCCAAATATGCTCCCTTGCATAAACCCAAAAGCCTTAAAAGCAAAAGAGATTTGATTGTTGGCAGTTTGGGGATTATTCCTCTCCCTTTCCCCCAGCGTTTTCCAATGGAAAATATTCAGGGTTTGGGTTTTCAGCCCTTTGCTGAAATGTCAAAATTTTCCAAAGGGTGAAGGAGGGGAAAAGAGAAGAAAAGAAAAACATGTTCTGACCAGCTCCAATCAGAGCCAAATGGCTTAGTCCTGGATTTGGTCAGGGAAGTATGCTGGAGGGGAGAAAACAGGAGTGTCTTGGTTGCACACACAGCCTGGCTGGGCTGAGGGCTGCGTATCAGAGCCATTTGTGTGTCATTACAGTCTCCATGTGCCCAGGACAGTGTGTGGGATAGCTGTGAAGCACTCCAGGTCAATATGTCACTTGCAAGCAGTGCCCTGTTGTTTGGCACGGCCGCTCGGGCTCTCCGTGTGTGTGTGGGATGTGCACAGGTACGCTCTGCTCGAGTCCTCCAATATTTCCATGACGTCTTTAACTCCCAGAGACAACAATAACACCTGGCACCTATCCAGACCTGAGAATTCAGCTCGCCTCCATTCATGAAAGAGGAGAGAGGAGAAAAATGGCATGTGCCTGTAAAAATTCATTGTTATCTGTGTCCTCTGGCCAGGTGCTGTGCAGTGGCTGGAATTTAGCCTTTGAAAGCCCAGGCCATCTATGGACCAGCTGGCTCTAGGTAGGGAGAAATGCTGGAAGAGCCAACATAAAGGCTGCTGATCCCACTCATGCACATACATGTGCCATCATGCTTCTGGGGGAAAAGGAGCGGCTTCACTTCCACAAAGCATTGCTGGTCCTCACCTGCATGCTCAGCCTCCGGAAAACTGTTCCTGCAACTGGGCACCATCAAACATGAGAAGGACCAGGGCCACCTCTGCAGCTGCCCCTCCAAGGTATCTGATCCCACAGCTGCAGCTGGGGGGGATGGCAGAGGGATGTGTACCCTGGCTAGGTCTTTGTCCCCCTCTAGTGACTCAACTGCAATTCCGAGTTCTACTCCCTGAGCAAGATGGGAATTTAGGCCAGGATGTTTCCTTTCTGCAGGCCACTAGGACATCACTGGCAGGTCATATATTAATACACACTCACACATTATCCACTGCAAGTGTAAACAGTAATTTAGGAGCCTGACTTTCTGTTCTAATAGGCCACGTGTGCCTGCTTTCCTGCCGTGGAAGATGGCAGTCAGAGGCACGACAGCCCATGCCTGATCCTCCCAGGAGGAGATCCAGCTAAGACCACTGTTACCAGTACAAAAGCACATGCTCCCAGTCTCCTGTAACCAAACACTTGCTGAGTCACAGCCCAGTCACCCGTAGGCTTAGCAAGTCGCGTCAGCCATCTGTCACCAGCACATCCTCCTCACCGTGCTGTGACTCCATGGGGAAAACAACAGGAGGCAGATTACGTTTGACTAAGAAGCCAGGCTCTCGTGCATTTTGGCTCTGAGTAACCCCTGGATTGCCTTCTAACCAGTGGTGAGGGCTTTGGCTCCTCTTACTTTGGCCCTTAGTCAGGGAAGAAAGTGACATTCCGGTTGAAACACTGGAAGCTTTGCCTGACTAATAGTGACTCCAAGCAAAGCTGACTCAGAGGAGATATGGATGGCATAGTACAAAATGTCCCTCCTACGGACAGATCATCTACACGGATCTCCACATTGGTGTTCTCCTCCAACCAGTGTTTAAAAAACAGCACTGAAATATGGGGTGCCCTCTTTCCTAAGGCCTTGTCCTACCCACTGTGTCAGCTAAAGGCTGCAAAAGCAGCCTTGCCATGTCCCTTGTCCCAGTGAGCACCTGTGTTTCCCCTGCATTCAGCCCTGCAGGGAACAGCCCAAAAAGGCAGGATTGATCCCTGTCCTGTGTTACCCACCCACCGAGGCACTGCCCAGGTGTGGGAGCCAGGCTGGGGCAGTGCAGCAGCTCAGAGTAGGGATTCACAGGGGATCTCACCAAGAACCCCACACTGCTTACCACAAGCTCCCCAGGCCAGGCTCCCCAGCCTCCTCTCTCGTGCCTGAAAGTCTCCTGCCCATCAGCTCCGTGAGGGACAAATCACCCACACCACCAATCTGACCGTCCTACTTTTTCCTGAGGCAATGAAAGAGTACAGAGTAGATGTGGCCTTTTTGTTGTGGAGGAAAAAAAAAAAGTGAACTCAATGCCAGGCACAGATCCCAGGCTGCAGAGTTCAAATCACGCTCAGAGCACATAATTCCCGTTTGTGTTTGTGTGCACGCAGGGCAAGGGTGGGAGCTGGCCGGGATGTGTGTGTGTGAATATAAGAATGTAATTGTCATAATTTAATCCAAAACTACTTCTTGGAAGGAAAAAAAAAAATCAGGCTGACACAAAACAGCATGTTCAGTTATAAACACCACATGAAAGAGCTGTATTATGTTCTGCTTGGTAACTGACATAGAGTGCTAACATTCTCAGCTGCCCACTACTGGGCAAAGGCCTTTCCAACTCTCCCCCTCACCCCCAAAACAACCCCCTCCAGCCAAATTGCAGAGCAGATACCAATTTTGTGAGGCCACAGAGAAATTCCACATAGAAAGTTCATTATGGGCAGAGCAGGCTGGCTGGCAGGCAGAGTGCTGTGGAGCACAGAGATGGCCATCTGGGACTCGGGGCACTCCCAGCTGTGCACGCACATCTGCAAGGCCACGGAGAAGTTGGCACACACTGTGGGAGCTTCAGAGGGGCTTTTCCCCCCAGATTTCCCATAACAGAACCACGTATTCCTGGAGCAACATGCCTTGCTGGCATCAAGGCTGCTCCTCCCCAACCAACTCAGGGGTCTCGGGGTTCTCTGTGCCCTTCCCTTCTCCTCCCAGGTCTTCAGCTGGAGTGACTCATTCCACGTAAAGAAAGCAGAGGCATTCCATCTTAGATCCCCAGGGGTGCTTACCTGCTTAACTCTGGATGGCACTGCACCCCTCAAAAAGCAACCAGGAACACAGGAGAGCTGATAATTCTCGCTATTCTAAAATTCACTATTCTGTAATTCACCAGGCAGAATCGCCCTTCCCACTTGTGGGGCCAGGAGATAATATGAAAATGCCCTTCCAATCCTTGCTGTCCCCTGCAGTGGGGGTGGTTGGGGTCTCGTCTTAACTAGAGGCTCCACAAATCATTGACTGGAGAGCTGTTGCAACAGGATATCACAAAATAAATGCCTTCTGCTTGAAGAATATGTTTTTTAGCTTGATGCTAACCTTTCTTTTTCATGGGGCTGGGTGACATTATTAGCACCCTTGCTTACTGCTGAAGTGAAGCATCTTTGTTGCAGCGTGGGTGGGAGATGGGTTATCGTCAATATGGAGCAGATCTAGAGAATGACTTCTGTTATTTACTTCTTTTCTGTTCCTTGTAGGACATGTGACACAGTTTAACAAAGATCTGCTTAGCTAAAAAAAATCCAATTAAAACCTGAATTGTCCTTCGGCTGTGCCTGGCATGCTGCCATTTCAGCAGTCCAGCGGGAATGAAGTGGAAGAAGAGCAAACGCAACGCGCTGCTGGTGCGGTGACACTTGGGGACAGCGCGGCCAGCGCTGTTTGTGCCCGAGGACGGTCGGACTTGGCGCTGCCGGGACAAAAATAGGAAAAACGGGACTCGCCCGAAAGGTGGAATTGAACCACTCTGTCGCTAGACAGCTACAGGTTTGAAGCCTGCACCCCAGACCACTGAGGGTCATCCGGGCAATTCCAACCGCGCATGCCACATTCTATATGAATTCCCACAATGTCCCTACGTCTAGGTAATGGCGAGAAGCGTTTTCCCGCGGTGTGACCCCTCTCCCTGTTCCCAAAGCGCACACGGCCGCACGGAGCGGGGGATGCGGCGGTGACGTGAGGGGCGGCCGGAGCGGCCCCCGCCGCTATCCCAGAGACCCCCGGGCGCGCATGCAAATTAAAGCGCGGTGATTGGCTGTGGCCGCGGGGGCGGGGCGGGCCCCGCTGAGGGTGAGTCACGGCGCTTCCCAGAAGGAGCGGGGCGGCCCCGCGGCCTTCCCGGAGCACCGGGGACCCTGACAGCCCGGCCGGGACCGGGACAGCTTCTTGTGCAACCGCGGGGGCGGCCCGGGCCCCGGGCTCCTATTTTTTAATTTTTTTTTCCTTTCTCTCCTTTTTTTTTTTTTTTTTTTTTCTTTCAGTGGCTAATGCCAGATCCTCTGGAGGATGTGACTCTCCCACGAGATACATCTCAGAACAATAATATCCTCTGGGAGGAAATTCCTCCCTGGCCCCCAGCTGAGGATCAGCTTATGCCCCGAAGTATGAGGATTGAAAACACTTGTAATTTTATCCCATCGAGTGTAACTATACGGGCTATTTTCATAAACCCTTGAAGAGTTACTCACTTATTTGCCTCGAGAGATTCCTCTGAAGCAGAGCCATTTCTGCAAATGCATGTGGTTTCCAATGATTTTTAATTAGATAATTCTTTTTCGTGTAAGCAACAAAAAACCCCATAGGCTCATTCCCCCTCGTGCTCGCCCTGGGGAAGCTCAGACTCAAAGCTGAGACAGCAGCATCACAGTAAAAGTGGTACAGAACAGAACCAGAACCACAGCCAGAAGCTGGGAGCAGTTTTGTCGATGTCAGCAAAAGAAAGCAGAAAGTACATGGAGGGGCAGCACCATTCCCACTCACAGGCAGGAATGCTGCTGGGCACAGCTTTGCTTTCAGTGCATGGCTCCAGTCATGGCACCCCCTTAGAGCTGAACCAGCTCAGGTATGCCCTGGCCCGCTGACTCCCCACACAGACATGAGCACATTTGAGGCCTTACTGTTAATAGTGAGCAACTTCTTTAGCACCTTAAATGTGTTTTTCTAAGAGCAACTCAGAAGCAGGGCTCTTATCAGAAGGAGATGGTTTGAGAGCTGCTTCTGTGCCTGGGCATTTTTTTCTATGTTTCCTGGTTAGTAGGAATCACGGTCCTCAGTACATTCCTATCCCTTTACCTGGTACTTATTCCAGTAGCAGGTGGCGCAATTTAACAAGTGCCTTTTGTGCATAAAAATGCACTGGGTGAGGATCTGGGGCTGTGCATGGGAGGAGGTGGAGGGAAATTAGTCATGGGGAGGAAGAGAGGAAGAGGTTAGCACGGGGGTTGAGGAAATCAGGTGTCGGCAGCTATCCCTCAGGCTTCCAGCCAAGCCCGTCCTGACGTCTGCAGGAAGAGGCACGTCAGCTCAGAGTTGTGCTCCTGTCAGCCCTTTGGCATCTGACCCTGCTGACCGCTCCACGCCGAACCAGAATGGCTGCCAGGGGTCCAGCACACATTCCCAGCTCCTGTGCTTCGTGTTCAAGCCTCGGCTTTGACACCACTTTCACTTTCTCTTTGCTTTCCTCTCTAGCATCAACTTTGTCTGGGTCTCTTTCCAGGCAGCATTTCATGAAAAGGCTTCTTAGTGTGAGGATGCTGCTCTCATCTCTCTCTTGCTTCCTCCAGCATTTTTAAGCAGGGATGTCTTTCTCTCATGCCTTATGATCAATCTCCCTGTACTTCCCAGAAAATGAGTATGCCAGACACTCAAATCCAAATTAAAAATAATAGGCAGACAAAATAACTCCAACTGAGTAATCAAAGGATCCATCAGAAATACCAGCTCCTAAATCTTCCCCTATTATAGATGCAGAGATAATGAAGACAGCAGTTGCTAAAGATCAAGCAGTAGAGGAAGGTGCCTGAGAGGGTCAGCAGCAACATAGGAAATGATGCTGGAGCTGAGGGCTGATGGGGAAGCAGTAACAAAGCAGTGGTGAGAATTTCTCCCTGACGGGATGCTGGTCTGTCTAGGTTCAGCTCTGCCTCTGGAGCGGAAGCTGTGCTAGCCACTGACTTCCCCGGCAGGGGTTGAAAAGAACATTTCCAGGACCTGTCTGGCTTTTAGATGCCTTTGTCACCCCTGCCCAGAAGAGAGTGTGCATGACTTGCTGTGCCTAACAGCGGTGCCATTCTCCCTCTGGGAGGAATGGGGGCATCAATGCAGTAACTGCATTGGTGCAGTTACTGCAGCTGCTGCTCGCTGTGCCTGAGAGGGCCCAGGCCTGACCAGGAACTGGTGAGCAGACCTGGCTGCTGGCTGCAGGTAATGGTCATCTCAAAGCTTCTGACTAGAGTTATAAACCTAAAAGAATGGCCAATTTGTAGCTCCTAGGATTTCTGAGAGTGTATAAATAAGTGTAGAGAACTGTTGATTTGAAAGGCTTCTCAGCATCTGATTTGCTTTAAAATATTTCTTGGAAATCCATAAGCATTCAGATTCATCTTTAGACCAAGTGTCTTTGAAAATCTGACTCTTTGCTATTAAAAGTATAGAACAAATTCAGTTTATCAACTTAATGATGGAAAAGCTTGCTCTCCTCAATAATGCTCCTAATTAAAGCATTTCTGAGTGTCTTTGGACCTGATTCTCTACCTTATGCAGAGAACTACACTGTGCCAAATGGGTGCAGAGCACTGCCAATTTAGGTTTGATTCAATGCCCATTCAAGTTAATAGAAATCCTCCCACGGAAATCGATGGGATTTGGTTCAGGCCCCAAAGTCAATGGGAAATTCTAATTTGGCAGTACTTTATGCTCACACTGCACCAGTATAAGCAATATTCAAGGTACAAAGCCTTGGAGAATTTGGAAGGAGAATTGTATGGGACTTCTGGGCCTGACCATAGCCTAGGCTATTTCAGCAATTCCTAGGACTGTACAACAGCTATAACAGCAACCTTGGACTGTCTGACAAAGAAGCTTTAAAACAAATCAGTCTGAACTTTTCCTGTTCATTTTTTATACCACTCCTACAACTTAGCAATACACTTTTTATTTTTGTGTTGGGGTTTTTTTTTCTCTCCTAGGCTGACAGAACATAAAAGCATCTGCAATGCTTTGCTCTTACTACTTCTTTTAACCACCAGAACCTGATTTGTGTCAGAAAAGATAAGCCTAGATCCCTACAGTATTAAAATAATTATTTGGTGTAAGGTGGAGGATGAAGAGGGCTGTTATTCTTAGCAGCAGCAGTGAAATTTCAGCAGCTGATGACGTCAGTGCTAAAATGTCAGTGTGAAACAGGCTGGAACAAATTAAGTGTGGTGTCGTCACTGTGAGAGCCACGCTGCCCTCCAGAGGGATTGTTGTTGGATGCTGCAGATGCAGTTCAGGAGATGGGGGGGACAGAGGCTTGTGGGAGCTTCTCAGAAACTCACAAAAAAAGCATCAACAAGTATCTCAGTACCAGAAAGGTCAAAAAAGATGCTATTTGAACGTTTCTGCCCACCTCAAAGCGTGAGCTCACAGTGAGGGAAGGGCCACTTCTACAAACCAGATTCCAGGAACTAGAACAGAAAAAAATAGACAAATGCCAAAATAAAATTGTCCATCTTCTCCTCACTGAATAAACTGAGCTAACTCCGTCTCTGATGACACTTCTGTGACTCAAACTGAAGAGAAATTCAGCCTGAGATTACTTCTGCCATGATGTGCTGCTTGAAAGAGGGCAATGTGCTTGGAGCAGAGGTGACCCTGAGGCACTTTATTACTTAAATGTGCTATTGCACTTGAAGAATGCCTTCAGGCTATCCAAAAGTGCTGAACTCAAGGTGCAGAGACCTTTAATCAAAATGGGGTAAAATTTCAAATGCATTCATGTCCTTAAAGAGCCCACTCTTGCACATTTCTTGGCTAGTCTGAGGTGGTGATGTTAGACCTGACCCTGTCAGCTCAGGGCATGGATCCTCATTTAGAGATGGCATGGCAGGAGGCCTGATAACTTGGGGTCTTCAGGCCTGCATCTTCTTGGTCCAGCACTGATTTGTCTGCAGGGATTGTTGGGCTGTGGGATGTCCTGCTTTGGGGGGCTGATGGAGATCTACAGTATTTTGTAGGAAAGATGGGAAAAGTTGATATTGCTTGGATTAGTGTTTCTAGAAAACTATGGCCTGGTAACAAAACTGTTGTGTGTTGTTTCACTCCTTTTTAGAACTGTTGCAGGGATGGATGTGGTTAGAGCAGACAGAGCCATCAAGACATGTGCTTATCTATCAATCGTACCAGCTGTTGCTGGCATGCAGCAACTGACTGACCACAGCAAGGAAACGAGGATGAAATCAGTTAGCAGAGCTCTCCTTTCTCAGCAAGGACGATAAGGATTGTTGGCAAACCCACAGAGAGTTACGGGAATAGAGGAATTGGTGTGCTGAAGTCACTTCCTATCGCTTGGGAGTCCCTGTACTCAGAGCATTGTGTTTGCTTTCCTAGTATGGATGTCGTTGGTTGTCTGCATTAGTTCAGACAAATAAGAGCACTCACCCTGTCCCAGCACACAGAAATTCACCTGGGGAGACTGCCAATACAGTCTTTTATCTACTTTTGTGGGAAGGATTCAGACTGGCTGTGAGCAAACAGAGCAATTCTTTACATATCTTTACACCAGTAAAACACCTTGCTGAAAAGATTTTTGCAAAAACAGGCATGACTTAATCAATTCTGGGAAGAGGCA